AGGGGGAAGAGCATAGAGAGGTAAGGGGATAAGGAGGTGGGAGAAGAGGGGCCACAGGATGGGATCTGAATCTTAGTGGTAGCCACATTTTACAGGGATGAGAAACAGGAGGGCACTTTAAGTTCCCAACACTGCCACTCTGCCGAGGTTCGGCTGGGTGGTGCCACGTGGTGCTGCCTGTGCTCTCCTATGTCTTCAACTCCTCTTCTCTTCTTGGAACCCAAATGGCTCATGTTAAAGGGTCTACACATTTGCTGAAAATGTGCTGGTTTCTCTGGTCTCTCAAACTTCTGAATTTGTTACAAACTTTTTATGTCACATACCAAGCCCTTGTGAACATCTGGGTGTGTGACTTCTGGTCTAGATAAAAGTCTCTTCCTGTCTCAAGTCAGAACATCAGAGAACTAGTTACTGGGTCCTCACTGTTTAGTCCCTAGACAGACTGCTGTGAGCAGGCCCAAGAAATTGTTTTATTTATGAAAGGGATGGGGGGAAAAGATCACTCCAGCTCCAGCCTCGATAATGGACTGGATTATCTGGGGGCAAGAAGGGAAGTGGGAAGGTATGACAGCACGTTGGCTTGGACTAACCGGTCATGGTAGAGATAGAGAAAAGCAGATGGATTCTGTTAGCTTTGGGTGTGGAGGGCTGGCTGAGGAAGTGAACAGGAATTTGAATGCCCTTCCAGAAATTCCACCAATTAGAAATTCATTGCATTTGCAAACTCCTTTTATAAAAATGCAAATACATCTAAGAGGCTTAGGACTGCAGTGAGGGTGTAATTTAGTTTGAATTAGTTCCATCAGCTTTCTTTCTGCTATCACCTAGCTGAAGTCAGTCATACTAAAAGGAAGAGAGTTTTACTTGGGGGGAAAATGTTTTGCATAAGGGATATAACTGTGTGTGGGATAGGAGGTGAAAATCTTTGGAAAGATAGAAGCAGGAAGGAGCATGCAGAGGACACACAGAAGGAGTGTCGGCATTTGACAGCCAGAGAACCAGCAAACTTGGCCCTCTCTGAAAGTTTGCCTGATTGCCTCATAGAGATGAGTTCCCAGTCTTCTTTTACACTGGGAATCCCATTTCTTGTTCTCTTGTTGGAAGGAGAACATTTCTTCCAGTTGTAGCAGAGGGGAGGAAAAAATGAAATCAGTAAAAATCCTCAAAATGCATTAAGCATTGACAATTTCCACGCGGCTTTGTTTAAATTCAAGCTAGGCTACCTGATGGCCTGACAATATTTCACTGATATCATATAAGCTGCACAGGAATTTTTAGACCTGGCATATTAAAAAACAATCATCAGTTCCATGTGACAGAAATAACTAATTTGTGGTCAACATTTAAAAATAAGTTTAATTATGTTATTTTAAAGATCTATTTTATACTCGGTAGTAAATATCTATATTTTTTTAAGGTCCAGTCTTGTTTAGATACAACAAAAGGTATAAATGTTATTTATCATGTTCCTTTTTCTTTCTGTACTCATGGGTTACCGAAAAGATGAGCACATAGATTCTAAAATGTCCAAAATGCTATCTTTGAGTACAAGTCGGGGTACATTTCAAACTTCACATGAAAGCCAGTGCTCAGAACTAAGATAAAACTACTGGAGAAAATGAGTAATGACCAAACTTTGGCACACTCCTAACCAGGGCTTCTCGACGGTGATCCTGCTATAAAAAAGAACAAGAACAACTCCCAATCCAAGTAAAACAGTTCCCTCATATTTGGTTTTATAGTTATATTTCAAATATGGGGGAAAAAAACTTCTCAAAAAACCAAACTTAATAAAGAGCAACCAAGAACATTAGCAAAAAGTTTTGGCCAATGAAAAATTATAAAACATTTTTTTTCTTTCAAAAAGCAAAGCATTAAATGGCAAGATACAGATAAATCTCTGGGTGAGGCAATAAAAATGCCATGGCTTTGTGCCTTTCGATGTGAGTCACAAGTCTAACAGCAGGTACATTCTGTGTGGCTGTGGAACGGAACAGAATGTGTTAGTCTCATATGCTGTCTTCAACACGCCTCTGTCTGCATCGGCTCCTAAGTCTGTTTGTCCTGCCACACTTGCAGGACAGGCAATCATCCCCTCTTTCTTAGCATCCCTGTCTCTACTTACTGCTCAGGATAAAGCCTGGGGCAGCATGTTGTATGGGAACAAGGCAGGGCGGAATCTTGGCACTATTAGTCACTGCCAAATGTTGTATTTTCACAGATTAAAAAAACCTGAAGCACAACTAGGCTTCAAATCTTGCTCTGAACTATACACTGATCAAGCTTCAGAGCTAGAATCTGTCAGGTATTCATTCTTCTCTGAAACAGCCAGGAGACCCTTCTCCATGGATCTTCCATGTTTTTGCACCGTCTGCAAACAGAGGCACTGACCATCTGTCCTGAACTATCTTTTCAAAGATATTTATGCAGCAGATAACCTTGAAAGAGATGGTGTCTCACTCCAGAGCAAAGAGGAGGTTTTGTCCAGTATAACAAAGACAATGCCTCTCTCTGGGGCAAAGGGCAGGCCTGCTCACTGTCCATTACAAACTTTCAAACTCCCGAGGCTCAGAGTTCCTCTCCTGAAACGCAAACCACTAAGTATACAAGTGTCACCTAGCCCTCTTCACATCACCCCGTGGGAGCCGGGATTCAGCGAACCAGTGCAAATGCTGATAATCTGTCTGCTGCTATTGCTATAAATAATAAAGTCCTTTGTCTCTGACCCAGGAGTCTTCTGCCGTCTCCAATGAAACCGTGGCAGGCTGACTTGTAAGCCTGGAAGTAGGTGAAATCTCAGACCCCTTGACAGAAACATAAAATTGTGCTGATAATCAATCATATAAAGAGAGAAAATACTGAGAGCCTGTTGCTTGACTTTTCAAAAGTAGGATGATCCAGTTTTCGGGCACTATATGTTGGTATAATATATTATATGCATCATTCTTCAAATTATACACACACATATGCATACCAGTAGAATATACTTTATTTTTAAAATTAAATCTGTGAGTCTCACCATCCTCGTTTTTTGGATTAAAAAAGTAAAACAAAACAAAATGAAAAAAACCAACAGCAGCCTGAATTTAACTCACACAGCTAATAAGTGGCAGAGCTAAAATCTGATTTAAAAATTTATGGTTTGCCTGTCTCGAAATGCAGCCCAGCTCAAAATGCCATGGGCCACTTTGACTTGTAGTGAAATGGATAAAGTATATAGTATTATGTTTAGTTTTACTATCTTATCTTTTTAATAGTAACTTGTCTTTTAAAATATATTTAGGTACCAGCATGATTCTATCTAATCTGTATTCAATACCAAATATTCAGTATTCACAACAAATAACATGTTTTTAATCTTGTGAATACTGAGTTTGTATTATATGCTGTGTATTCATAGCAAAAGTCTACAGCACAAGCGATTGTTTGTAAAGCTTATATCAGAAAACAGTGTTGTAGACATACTCCTTCAAACTACACATCTAAGAAAATTATCTTCAGCTACAGAAAGATAACATTACAAGAGAAATAATTCCACTTAAAAGGCTGTGTATTCTGTGAAATTATCTTCTTAATCACAGAGAAGAATAGAAGATTAACAAACTGGGCAGAGTTAAGAAAGGACTACATATGTCTAGAACTTGCAGATATTCTTGAGAATAAAAAATACCTGAAGCAAAAAAAAGACAGAAAAAAAAGCTTTTTAAGGTTATGGAAGCAATACGTAAATTTAAGTAAGAGTTGCTTCGGGAATTTTTTAAAACTGCTAATCCATTTCTGGCTATAAACAGGCTTTCATTCTTACAATCTTTTTCTGCAAACTCCAAGGCTCATCAATCATTTTGAAATGTAAACAGCAACAAAGAAAAACATGCTTTAAAAATAGGCAGGCTCCATTCCAAACATTAAACAAATATTTTCCAAATTGCCTTAATTAAAGGATTTCCAGATACTTATGAATAATGCCTTCATGGAAATAATTATTTACTTGCTTCTCATGAAAACATTACTTTTTTCATAAAATAAAAAACTATCCAGCTAAGATTTACAAAAACAAAACAAAGATTATGGAGTCAGTTACAACTGTCCTGTGAAACAATAACCACAGAACCAGGTATAAACAGCTATTATTTATTTAAAACAAGTATCTTAAACTGAAATTTTAATTGCTGGTTTATGTTCATTTTAATTTAATCCTTGGTAAATGACAGTAGAAGACCATAGTCTTAACACTGGGACATACCAATGTGGTTAACATTTGGTGGGGAAGCCGAAACCCCATGGAAAAGCCAACGGGTTAAGATATCAGTTTTCTGATTCGACTTGGGACACAAATTAATTTTTTAAAAAACATTATGAAAACTATGTGGATCTAAATTTTAATTATATAGTGAAATACTTTCCAGGGGCATAAGCTGTTAAACAAAATGGGTTTTAAACTAGAAATGTGAGGAACCCTGTCACTGATGGGTTTTAAAGTAGGCTATAATTTCCTCTATGAAGATACATCCGCTATCTGATGTTTTCTTTCCACTGTGGGAATCTATGAGGAAGCGAGATGGTAATTTTTGTCCCAACTTTCTATCAAGACTAACTGAGAGAATTTCAGAAAGAAGAAACCTGTTTGCTGGGATCAGACTCACTTAATCATAAACAAATACATTTTTTAAAAACCTCGAGTTTTATCTAATTAAGGAATACTAGGATAATTGCTTTTAAAATAAAGCAGTAATTATTTCTGAAGACAAATACATAGGAAGAAAAGGAACATTCATCTAGAAAGTGAGAAGGCAGGACTTAAAGAAAGAATATCAGTGTTACGTGTTATTCCTTATTATCAAGGTCTTCCCACTGGCAAAAGCTTGTGGATTCTGGAAGATTTGTGAAAGTGATAAACAAAGGAGCTTAGTAGACTGAGCTGAGATCTCCTTATTTGGTGTCTACTGAGGAAGCCTACATATTTCACAGGTTTATGCATAAAGACGCAAACAGAAGATTACCTGGAAATCTTCTAATTATTTGACATAATCCTTCCTTTCTGCAAAGATGATGCTGTATTTCTGGTAATATGTTTACCTGAAAGGAATGAAAAATATTCTAGTGAGTTATGCATTCATAAATGCTACAGCAAAGAAAACACAAACAGCCCGAAGGGTACAGATGTGAAGCACTGTCCACACCATTCACCCCCTATCTTCAAATCTCTGTAAGTCAGCATTCAAATCCAGAATAATAAAGTGGCTTATTTGATAACATAAAATAGAAACTTGCTGTTAGAAATCTTCAAAATATTTGGGAACACTTTTTAAAACTTTGATATATTTCAAAGCCGTGATACTCGCTAGAAAAAAAAGGGAATAATTTATGTCACGATGGCAAATGGAGGAAGACGACTAACTTGATAGTTGCAAATTTTGCTATGTCAAAAAAAATAGCACTTAACATACCTCAAAGTCAACTAAACTCCAAAGTTCCAAAGCCCCTCAATGACTTGAATCACAAACATCTAAGTGGAAATTCAGTTCTAAAACTGTTAGCATTTATAGCTTTCAAGTCATACTGAGGGCATTATTCCTTCCAAATATAAAACCCAGTCACCACAAAACTCTATTTTAACAAAAATCTGTTCTTAGGAAGCTTTGTAAGTGTTATCATAAACTCAAAGATATATTTTCATTTATAAAGAAGAGATACAAAACAAGCTTGATTCTCTCCTTTTTTGAATCTACAGATTAAGCCAGCAATTCTCAACTAATTCCCTCAAGAAATGCCAAATATGGTAATGCCTTGTTAAAACCAACAGAAAGAGATGAGTGTAAAGCAGCTTGAAAATTAGATGCGTTTTTGAGCAATTATTGATTATTTTCAAATCGATTCACTCTACACTAATACCATATTAGAGCTTCTTTACTGTGGCCTGCTGGCACGACTTGATAAAAAGAACCCAGCTAGAGAAAAGAGAAGGAACCAGAAACATGGGTTGTAGTCCCACTTCTGGTACATAACAGAATCAGAACCTTGAGCACGTCACTTTGCTTCTCTTTTTCAATTTCTCCATTTGTAAAATGGAGACTTTGGTCTCTAAGTTCCACCTCTGCCCTGAGCTTTGATCAATTCAATAATTCAATCATAAGTAGTTTTTTAAAAAAATGATTCATTTAAAGTGCTTTGAAACAGTTCATGGATTAAAAGTTCTCTAACCCTGGCACTCTTGTTAACTCGATCCATTTATTCAGCAAACTGTAAACTTTCAACACAGGTCATCTATGAATAAAGCCAGGCTTTAGCAGAATCCACTCTTGTGAATCTGGGAATTGAGAAAAGGCTATAAAAATAGCACACTTTAGATTTTAGGGATGTTTACATTTCTCAGATTCAAAAGTAAGAAAGTTCGGAGACTAAATGTAGGAAAAGAAGAAGGGCTTTCACAGAGTCCTGAAGTTTTAAATTCAGAATCCCTAAGACAGGCTGGAGGGAGGGGACAGAGCACTGCAAAATTATGGGGAACCCATCATAGAGATTTGGGGGTTTTTTTGCTATTATTGTTAACACACAGAGCACTTCTCTAAATTAAATTGTGAAAGGTTTCAAAGGTCAGTAAACTGGAACCATTTTCCACCACGTAAGGCAAGATCACTCAGTTGCTGTTGATGATTTAGAATCTCTAACAATAGGAGGACCAAGAAAGAGAACCAGCATTAGGTGAGCAGCAGGTGAGGCTACTGACCCAGGTCCTGCTTAAAACTCTCTCTCCCACTTCTTGGGCTCAGAGCAGACGTGCCGCCATCGCAGACGCTCAGAGCATCCCTGTTATGCCGTCCTGACCTCTACAAACTGAAAGGAGGAGCAGAGCCCTGGTAAAATGGGTAGCAGTAACTGAACCAAAGGGCCAGAAGAATTTGTGTAGACGCTGCAAAGACAGAGTGCAGCTCGCACAGATCCCAGATTGACGGGTAGTTGCTGTGTCATATTAGAGAGATGGCTGAGTTTTCACATGAGACCTGGGTCAGGAGGATGAACTGACTCAGGGTCAACAAAGCACTTGCTTGAAAAGACCAGAGCCAAGCCAAAGGAAGCAACTGCGCTCCCTTTCCCACCCGCCGCCCAATGACCTCTTCCCCTGCTCTTTCCTCCAAAGTACAGCCTTGGAATTCACAGAGTCGAAGAAGATGACATGACCGTGGTGACACATGACACTAGAAATATCGTCTCCCTTCTACTCTGGAACCGAGCGCCAAACTAAGCAGTTAAACTGAATAACTTGGCACAAAGAAATAAACACATTCAAGGGCCATGGGTCCTACAGCTGTGGTAAATCGACTTTATTATACATGTTTTAAATTTTAGTTATTAAGCCTAATAATACTCTTCAATATCTTAGTGTTTTTATTCTTATTTTTCACATACCTCATAAAATATGTCAGATTTGCATCATTATCAAGTAGAAAATAATCAAAGAAGTTTTAACTAGGATTAGCTGACTTTTATACAATGAGCTTCTCCAGATTAATACTGCAATAATTGTTTTTTAATAGGATTTTATTCCGGGCAGTTTTAGGCTCATAGCAAAATTGAGAGGAAGCTACAGAGATTTCCCATTTATCCACTGCCCCCCTACCACCACGCACACCCTCCTCCATTATCCCCCAGCAGAGGGGTACATTTGTTATAATTGATGAACCCACATTGACACATCATTACCACTCTAATAGTCATTTTTAAATATATACCAATATAGTAACATAATATATTTGTATTGAGTTTGAATGCATTGAATTGAGTGTATTGAGTCTGTAAATGTGTGTGTGTTATATAGACCGCTGTTTTTCTTGGTATAAAACCTGTCATATCTTTGAAAAGATTAGAACGCATCTGAAAAAAATGATAATGGCATTTGAGCCCCGGAACATTTCTGAGATCAAACTAGGAGAAAAGAAATGTGCATTCAGGAAGATTTCAATCCTAACGTACTTTCTAGAATCCTAATCTGGGGTAATCTGCATCTAAACTGTTTTCATTACATATAATTCTTATTTTGAGACATATTTAATTAATAAGAGCAACAGTAAAAATATTATTTATAAACATTCAGAAAGTGTTGTAATAAATCAAAAAAACTAAGATGGCAGTAATACCATTAACTCATTAAGGAGAGGAGACATTTGAATTTGGGCTATTTATAAAGTGTAAGAGGGCACCGAGGGATTTTTTTTGTTGTTGTTACTCATGAACATGGAGAGGGACACACACTTCACATTGCATCATAGGGAACTTTCCTTCATTAGGTCTGTACAGATGTTCACATCTTTTATTTTATCAAAAATCAGATCTCTGACAACTGTTCAGTATCATCCATTGAGAAGAGAATTAATGGCAAGAAGAGAACCAGTTAAAAGAAAAAAAGTATTTTTATCCTTTATGTCTCTCGTGTGCATTTACCACTCCATCATATTCACCTGAAAATGGCCTACCACACTCCAAAATATGAGCCAGTTCAGCAGTTCTCAGTGCTCCAAAAGCTAAAAACAGCATCCTGGATTCAGGGACTGCTAATCCTACAAACATTTAGAACTAGAAGTGAAATCACTCGGCTCTTGAAACACTAGGACCTGCCTGTGAGAGGTGAGAGACAGCCCCTCTTTCTAAACTTGGTGGCACCCCGTTCATGGACCCCACTTCACTTTTACACCCCGTGGACCAACACGCTTTTAAATTCCTGGTACTCTCCTCCTGACTGGAGAGACTCCGGGCTTTTCGTCTTTTATAACAGATCTCATGATCGTTTTCATTAAACACTTAAATTCCAAAGCTCTGAAGTGGTCAGTAATCCTTTTTTGAGCAGGTGCCCTGTCTCTGTTCATTCCAAGGTCGCTGACAATTCTACAACATCCCCAACAAATCTGAAGCAACTTCTGTTTTGAATAGTTATGTTCACATAAGTAACTACATGGCTCAATGCTCCAAACTGACAGTTATCTAATATGCGCCATTTAGAATTTATGTATTCCTTAGGAATATTCATTAGAATAGGCTGTAAGTGCAGTGGCTAAATATTTATTTAGAAAGATGCTGTAGTGATACAGTTAAGAAATAGGATTTAAAGTCAGACTGCCTGAGTGTGAATCCCAGGGGCTTCACTTGTTACCCAGGAGGACTCAAGCAATTTTCTTAATCTCTCTGTGCTTCAGCCTCCTCCTATGTAAAGATGGATATAAACAAATATGTAAGCACTCAGAAAGGCACCCACAGGAGCCCCTGGCAGGGCGGAGGGTGGGAATAGAGAGAAGCTGAGCACTTATCTTCTTGGCTTCCTCTCTGCAGGGCCATGATTTGGCAATGGCTGCATTCCTCTATGTTTAGAGCTCCTTTCCAGGGATC